TATGAGATTGACTTTTTTTCACAAAAAGTGATTGAACTTAGGTATTTATTTTCCCCTTTGTATGTCTTAATAGTTTTATATGCAGTTATTAATAAACTCAGCATAGTACAGGTATTTCATATGAAGAGCTCTGATTTATGTAACTGCAAGGTAGTGTATGTTCCATGTTTAGATTGACTCACGTTTTTCCTTAATGTTATCTGAAACAACTGAAGTTGAAGTGAGCGTGAAGGAATAGAGCTTATCTTACTACTGGTCTTTCTATGAGTGTATTGGGGCAACCACAGCAACCTCTCTGTTGAGCTTGCAGTAAATTACGTAGATGATGGGGAATCTAAGGATTCCCCTTTGCAGTACTTAGCTCCAGCCGGGGGATTCCAGTGTGGGAGGTCACAGCATTGAGAGAAATTATTGACCAAATGCAGGTTCTTTTATGGAGGCAATGTTGTTTGAAAATGTTTTTTTACAATTCAAAATATAATTTGTCAGCCATTATCATCCTGCAACCCCAGGCTCTGATACCTACAACCACATGATACCATAAAAACTGATTTTGACTTAAGCACATAGTACACACTGGATGCAACATACAGAAATCAGAAGTAGTCAAGCTATAGTAGCCGAGATGTGCCAATCCAGACTGGGATCCGGAATGTAAATATTATAAAATTGCTGCTTTTTAAAGAGTTGACTTGTGGCGATTGTGGAAGAGAGGACCAGATGAGTGAACTCCCATCAAACACTGTTTTGTTATCCCCAGTATTCTGTCTTAATTTAGCATTGCCTACAATATGTGCACAGTTTGAAACAGATTAAAACAGCTATATAACAACTCTTATTCCACCACTGATAAACATTTGATTCCACTGATTTTAATAATTCATCATCATATCAAATTTTTTACTTAAAAAAAGGTAGTGGCAGATAAACTTTTATTGAAAAATAATATGTTTGAAAAATATCAAGTTCTAGTTTAAGAAAAAAACATAGAAAAATAAATTGTTCTTCTTCATCACTTTTTGTCATCAACTGTTGCCTTCACTCCATCCTTCTGGATCAGAGTAGGTCAAACCTAAAAGACAAGTGTTTTTTGTATAGCCCACAAGGGGTCCACGGTGGGATGCCTCAAGGCTTGGTGCTTGGCCTACTCCTTTTTCCCATTTACATGCTTTTCCTTTAGGTCACCTTATATGTCAATATTGGAACAGTTTCCACTTTTATGCAGACGATACACAGATGTTTTTTTTTATTAGGGGTGCTGGAATAATAAGATCAAGGTAGCAAACACTGCTGTATCTTCTTGTATAAAAAGCTTTTCAAAATACCTTTATTGATTTATTTACTTTTCATAGTTGTAATTTAGTTGTATCTGTTGTGTTTTTATGTTGATTTGTCTTTTTGTAAAGCACTTCCTATTATAAAGTTTATTATTTAGTGCATTGTTTCCCTGATTTTTTAACAGATATTCCATTTTATTTTTCAAATATTATTTATTTCAGATGTAATATTGAGATGGCTGAATTTGTGACACATTACAAAGGTTTACTTGTGAGCCATCCATCAACTAACAGAGGCTCCTAAACAGAATGTTGCCTCAATGCAGTTAAAATAGGAAGTTGGCAAGGGCAAGGCTTTGTTCCAATACCCCCTTAACCAGCCTCTAGTTTTTTACAATTTGGTCACAACGTCTGACTGTTTCAGATCAATAGAAGCTGATAGTGGAGAACAATCTTTTATAGTTTTATTGAAGAACACTTTAACAGAGAAGAAATTCCCATGTAAAAGTGAGAATCTGATAAGTAGCCACACAGTACTTCAGTATAAGTAATAAGAGTAATCTTTGCATTGTGATAATGCTTTACCAGACCAGACCAGACCAGACAGAAAACCCACTATGAACCTCCGGAAATAGTGTGGCTTACACCTTTCTTTTCTAGATTAATCACTTTATACCCTTACTTACATTGCAAATGTTGAAAATGATTAGCCTAGTGATTCCTTTTCAAATTTGCAAGGACTGTATATTCTGTATTCTTGAGTTGAGCTGAGGAAAATCTAAGATATGTAAATGAATCTAAAATTGTATTTAGAGATGGAAGAGGAGCAAAAATTTAATTAATCACTTCATCAGTGTATTTTTCCTCATAGTAAGGTAGACTGCTGGTTCATCCTTTTGTATGTCCAATTGTTTAATAGTTGTTTAATATTTACTTAAACCACCACTGTTATAGAGAGTCACAAGAACAGTAAAGTACATACAAATCCTCAAAATTCAACAATAAAATATGTATAACTGCCCACCAGAACCACATATGTAAGTGTTTTTTTCATAATGTGGCAACACTATGGTTAAGGTTTTGTTTGGTTAATGGACTTTTTTGTCAAAGTCAGGCGTACCCGTCCATCCACCTAAGAACGGTCCAACTGCAGACCTTAGATCTGGCATGATATTCTGATACTTTTAGAGGTAACAAAACTCCTTTTGACTCAGAATGAGAGGTAGTACTAAGTAGAGAAGTACTGTGAAAACTAATGTGTAAAAAGTATTTTTTGGCAAGATTAATTTTATCTTCTTACTTCTATAAGGATGATTGTAACTAACATTTTAACAGTAGCATGATGCGAATAAAAGAGTAGGACCCAGAGAAATATTCATGGTGTCTCCAGAGGGTGGCATGGAGACTTTAAGTGGTGGTAGAAATATATGCTGCCAACAATCACATATTTCAGTATTTGCAAAAGAATATCCACCCCTGCATGAAATGCTAGTCAGCTAATGTGCTGTTAAAGATTAGCTTGTTGCTTATGGTGAGGAAGAGGGGCAATAGATTTTTAGATAATTGCAACTTCTTTTTTGTTTTTTACATATTTTGGGGGGCTTTTTTCCCTTTATTTGACAAAATGGCTTGAGAGATGGACAGCAAAGAGAGAGAGAGAGAGGGGATGACACGCAGCAAAGGGCCACCGGTGGGATTCAAACACCGCCTTGGTACATGGGGCGCCAGCTGTACAGGGTGAGCTGCCTAGGTGCCCCATACAATTGCAACTTTGAATATTGCTATAAAATCTAGGCATACATAGCCTACAGCCTTACAGATATATAACAGTAGCAAAAAAATCACGTGGGCTAACTTGAGCTGACACTTTTTTCCTGAAAGATCATAATAAGTGTAATGAGTTACGTCAATTTTGTCATTTAATAGTTTTTAATGCAGCTACTCATCTGCACAGACCATCTTAAAACCAACAAAAAATGTCTAGTCCTAATCAACATCTTGGCTAGTTCTGCTGGTAAATTGTATTGGGGAAAGTTCTACACTTTTTTACATTTGAAAATATTAGATTACTATGCTGCTAACTACAATTAATAACAGCAAATTATGTTAATTATTATTATTAGCACTGAAGTCATCTAAATGCCTGCCTATAGTGTCAGGTCTGCCATAAGTTTTTTATGAGTTTAGGCACACATGAATCACTACAATCAATCACTGTCTTCAACACAAGAAATGTTTATGTTTTTATTTTGAATCCAGAGAAAATAATACTTAGTCTGTTTCACTTGGTTTTATGGGGCTAACACAAGTTGGAACCTATCATGACGTCACCCATTAGTTTGTGCAGTAACATTTTGAAGTCTCGAGTTTGGTGTTTTAGATCTGTCCGTAGCCGGACAAAAAATGGCGGCTCACCTGGTCACACACAATCTCATATTCCAGCTAAACAGTACACTAAAATATATTTCTGAAACGATTTTAAGTGAGAAATAGGCAACGGAGCAACAGAATCTAAGCTGCATTATCTGATCAGCACTGCCTAGTTTTGACAGTTTTGATCTGAGTTTGGTGCGCAAACGCTGGACCAGACTCACTGACAGTGAACCTGTCAATTCAAAAGGTAGCCCCGCCCAAAAAAAGCAAGATGCAGCATTTATCGTCTATTTTACTCCTAAATTGGACCATAATTTTACTAAATGAACATCATAATGTATGGAAGAAGAATGTGGAAACTAGGTGACTGAGACCCTAAACCCATCAGGAAACTGTTTACTG